TCCGCATAACTTTCGATATCCTCGTCTCATTCTCCCGATATCACGCTCAGGCATACCTCGCACCACCTGCCCCGGCAATAAATGATGCTCGTTCGGTGCTGGTTTGTCTGGGTTAGTGTACTTACAGGCGCCCGGGGCCGTTGTTTTCGTTTTTTTTGGGGCCCTAGAATACGCTCTATATATTTATTGTCATTTTACGAGGGGTTTGTCCGCTTTTGGATGGTTCAAAGTGGGTGACAGAGCGGTGGAGGGAGTACCGGACCAAGGAGGCCAAACATAGACGGTCATTTTATCAACACCAGGCATTTCTTTGCCCACTAACGTGCGTCTATTAAAAGAGCAACTTATACTCCTTGTACTTGACCGCTAGCCGTGAGCGTCGAACGTGCGCAACTACCGTCGCTCACTTTGACGTCTGCAAACGTATTTGCCCTAAACTACCGACTGGCGACCGTGGGGCCGCAGAGGCCGAAGTCTCAACTTTGTAACAAGTTGGAAACGTGCGGGACTTTGCGGTCCTTTCGAGGCGAGGCCCGATGGGTCGCTAAGTCCAGCCCCGCTTTTCGCTGCCGTTGCACTGCGTGCGGGTAAGTTGTCACTTACCCGTCTGCGCAACCTTTGGCAAAAACTCGAAAGTTCGGGCATCACACTGCCCGGCGCATTTCTTAATGTGCGCTTTGCGTGATGTAATACAACATTTGTTTGGTTTTTCTTACGTGGTTTAGTCTTAAAGTTGCTTAATACGACTCATACCCTTTAATGTTTTATTGTTTTATGGATTAAAAGCCTTCGGGATATTCGCGGCGCCGGACAAAAGGGATAAAAAAGCTGCCGACGCCGAATTATCTGACCACGCCCGGATTTAGATTTGCCTAAAAATGTCGATTGCCGGTGTGCGAAATTGAGATACCCGGATACTACCGGCCAGGCGGGCCTGGGGGGTGGAAATTCGCCGGGCCCAAGCGTCCGTCCTTCTCGAACCTCCGGGCCTTTTTCTTCACTTGTCCTCGCGCGTTTTCATTGTTCACCTTTGCTATCACGCATACGGCGACGACGCCGAATATACGTCCCCGCAAATAGTCAGGGACTTTTCATCGCCCTATATGTTTTTACTTGGTTGCCAACACCTCGTCACCTTCCGTTGCCCGGACGTTCCTAGTACAGATCACCAATTTAAGACGAAACTCAGCCGGCATAATAGCATTTTCGAGGGTTTTTGCGTCCTGTAAAAAACTTTTGGATACAACAAAGGTTCGGAGTTCGGCCTGTAAGTAAATTCACTGTTATTCTTTTTTGTCTGTATATAAGACACTTGTAATTTACTTAGTCTTTTATTAATTATAACAGGATTTTGGATTTTTGTGTATGTCGGAGTTTGAGAACTACATTAACGGTCTTTAGTACAAGTACGCCCCAACGTCTTACTAACTTTTTACAACCGTATTTAACTGACTACGTTATAGGATTAGGAGTTACTATGAAACTTTTACGTTTGGTAAACACTTTTACAGAGAGGACTTTACTTCACATACACAACGTTCGTTTTTAGCGGGCCTACAATGCCAAGGGAGATTTTCTGAGGTAGTTCCATTATGGATGATTTTATTTTAGGAGTGGTACCCTAGTTAAATATGTAAAATGTTCCCTCCCATTTACACTTATTACAAAGTTTCTACCTTATGAGTATTATAGGGTATAGTAATAGCCCGGTCACGTTGTAACCAATTGTTCATTCAGTGTTAATTATAAAAACAAGGGGTTTAGTACCGTCGGGACCCCGGGGGAGTATATTCTGCGGACGCATCTAAGTGCACCCTTTCCAACCGAATGCATCCTGTTTATCGTTATTTTGCCGTCCTCTGTGAAAAGGGGCGTGTCTGAAGCTTGGGGATTTTATTCGAGCACCGCGACCAACAACCAATCACATGAATGTCCCGCCCCCGGCATACAAAGCAAAAAACCCCGGGGATTTTATGCGAGCAATATATATATATATAAACTCCCCAAACAGGCGAAAACCTACCAGTTTCACCCACTGTCTCTGCCACCTCCCTCCATGCCTGGTTCTTCCGGTTTGTATCCCAGTAAATAGTTCTGGTCGTAAAGAACCGGGTGATTTGCTACCGTAATTTCTCGTTTGGAATATGAGGAAATGAACTGCGGTCTGGCTCTCCCAGCTTGCACGCGGTTTGATTGGCTCGCGCTTGAACTGTCAGATTTGCATAAACGGGATTTGATTGGCTGACGCTGGCTACTCCGGCGTCTCCGGCTTCAGAAGTTGAACATTGTTCAACTTTTGCAGCCTGAAACGCCAGGAAAGCTCCGCTCTGCTACCCACAATTCAGTTCGGCGAAATGCGAGGCAACGTGACGTCACCCCATTCAAAGTGAATGGGCAGACGCGTTGGAAACCGTTTTTGAAGCTGTCGAAGCTGTAGTGTGGACGGGCCGTTAGTCTTTGTGAGTTCCTTGTTGTTGGACTGTGTTCACTGGGAAGAGTTCTGTCTTTAAGCCTTGAAATAAAGGTATTTTCTGTTTATCTGCATTTGGGTCCTGCTTGCCTCACTCAACCCTGACACTGACATGATGGACTCAAGTGCTCATGTTAATTAATTTGTATTTTCCCAACTAAAATGAATAAATCCAAACAAATTCACAACATATACTTTTAAGATTATGGCATTTTCATAAATTTAAATTCAACTTTTTTTCCAATATTGTACACATTTTTTTATTTATTTCAAATAAAGATCGTTGGAACATACAATATAAAAATGTACACTTACGACAGAACACCGATTACCGATACAAATGAAGAAAGAAACAAGGAAAATAAAGAGTGATCAACTGGAGAAGTCACAACCTTGTGCGTATTCTTAACGAGTTTGTACTTGCTGTAACACTTAACCATAATGCTATTCGTGACCAATCCATCACAAACTCACCAACAGTTCCTCTTAACACCTATGATAACTTGCACTCCAATTGCATAATGGACATCTGTTTTTCAAACCATGCTAAAATATTACCTTAAGATGCCAAATGTGAAAGTTATCCCTGAGTAATCACACATCACATCAATATTTCATACCCATATTTGTAAGGTTAAAATATGCTGAGTGATAAATACACATTATAATTGACAAATGAATCTGTAACTTAATACTTTTTTCACATAGATCTGTATAGTGGCTACATAAGGTGTGTATTTAAATGTGCATGCCCACACTTGAGAGATAGCTAGACAGGTAGTGCACGCAGTTGATGTCACTCTTATTGTCGAACCTTTTTTCACAATGTTTGACTGTATAATTGATGTATTCTGACCACAGGCAGACGTGGTTCATTCTCCCTCAGCACATGTCATTTCCACATGAAAAAGGTCACTTATCAGCATATAGCCTTCACGCCTCTCTCTGACACCCACTGCCTGCCTTTTAATGTCTGTATAACCTTATGTTGTATATGCCTTTTTCGAAATTAGAATTAGCAGAGTCGATGAAGAATGACTAGACAAAGTACAACAATTCTATATTTCACCAAGCTCTGCCACAGCTAGAGTAGCGTTGTGCAGAGAGAGAGATGTGTTCAGGCTCCAGGCTCCGGTGTGCTGGAATGAGACGCCACTCACCATTAGTGCGAGCTGCAGAAACTGTGGATGGGATTCAAATGTAAATACGGCTCAGTCATCAGCTTATTGTTACGCAATAACTTTGTGCAATTTCTCTCTCGCTGCTTGTGTGCCACTGTCGCATGCTGTGTTATAAAACTAGAAAAATACTGCTTTAAATATGCAATTTAAGACTGAAATACTGCATGTGTTTGTGTGTCAGACTCTGAGTTCTTTAGTTCTTTAGTTTTCTGTAGTCGTATATAAAGTAATGATAGCACCTCTGCGGGTAGCTTCAGTGGAGTGTGTGTGTGTGTGTGTGTGTGTGTGTGTGTGTGTGTGTGTGTGTGTGTGTGTGTGTGTGTGTGTGTGTGTGTGTGTGTGTGTGTGTGTGTGTGTGTGTGTGTGTGTGTGTGTTGCAAGCTGACTAGTGGATTAGGTCTGTCTGATGGCAGAAGGAGAGGGATCTCCTTTGACAGTGTGGTAGTTAGCCCATCTGTCTATAATCAGGTGTGTG